TATTAGCTTTTTTTTTTTATTAATTGACGACGTTGTTTACGTGCATGATTTATTTATTAATCAAGTCTAGGGTTGCATACGAGTCGAGCAGCTTGCGAGTTGCTCACGAGCGCTCGAGTCAATGCTCGACTCGAACTCGAGTCGAGCTCGAGATCATATTTTGCATTGTCGAGCGGCTCGCGAACGGCTCGATATATATGAAATTACTAAAATATCTGGTATTTTACTAAATTGTTTGAAAAAATTCGAATCGAACTCGAGCCGAGTTCGAGTATTTTGAACTCGAGCAGCTACAAAAAAATTCAATCCCGCTCGATAAGACCAATGCTCGACTCGACTCGGTCGACTGGTTTGCAGCCCTAATCAAGTCCATAAACATATTTGAATAGAAGTTTTAATAATTATTTGAAATTTAAATAATTTTTCAAAAAATATATATATATATATAGATTCATTCAGCACATATAATGAATATAAAGTTGATTAAAACAAATATGTTTATAATAGAGATAGAGGTATTGCAAATAAGTGACCTATATTAGTATAATCTGTACAACAATATGTGTTTAATATAATTTTGTAAACTAAACGAGTCAGCGGAATTCAAACTTGAGCTTTTGATTAAGCACAGGCTTCCATCAACTCGGCTCGTTAAGTTATCGAGCTCGACTAATCGGCGTATGGCAAAAGATTTAAAAATTATGTAAATATCTCTATATACCATGTCTAATGAATTGAGTATTACTCATTGACTATACAAGTTTTAAACAAGCTCGAGCTGATCATCGTGTCAAAAGAAATCAAAACTCGACTCGCTAGTTAAGCAGGATTTAATCGAGTTTTGAGCAGATCAATTAGTCGAACTGAGTGTTGAACTCACGAAACAACTTATTTTACATGAATAGTTCAAGTTTCACCTTTCTTTAAACTATATTAATTATATTTAAATTATGTCTTGAAAGAAAAAGTCTTCTTCATATGTTTACTGAAGACGGCCAACTCTTTAGCACCGCCGCTGGTCCACCGCCGCCATCTGTTGACTACTCACTATTATGAGGATGATGGTAATTTAATTAAGCGTTGACTTTGCTAATGAAAAAAAATGGCACCCAATATGTGTAGACCAATATCAAGTGCCCAATATATTACGTCACAATTCATACAAAATAGACAATCCTTTGTTATTTAATACGAAAATGTCTCGTTTACTTAAGCTGATAGGATATATAGTTTGGATAATTCGTTTACTAATCATGATAAGATTGACTAAAATAAGCTGATGTGTCCGGCGTGTCCCACACTTTTATCTTGTCTTGATAGATTATTTTGTCCGGTCTCGAGGGGTGTGACAATTTAATCCCACCTTAAAAATGACCATTTTGTTGAAAATTTGGTATGTGAAATGTTCTTTTTACCCTTAGAAGTCTACCAAATTACAAATTTAGGTCATATAAAATTGTCCTGTGGGTCTCACATATTTACCTCATATTTTGTTTTTCATCTTGTCATTTTGTTTCAGGTTATTAATTGTTTGATTGTTTTTTCCTTAAAATGCATCATCTTTTATAAATAATGGACACGAGCCGACGTGTAAAATTGATAGGATTAAACTGTACAATCTCATCATATTAAAAAAAAAAACGAGACCAAGGAAAAACTATGATACAACATTACTATTAGGCTTGTAGACATGTTTATCATAAAAACATTAAGTAATGATATGAAAGTTCATACTTTTGTCTTTTATGTTTATTTAGAGTATAATATTTCAATTTAAAAGTATGCAAGTTTGTTGAAAATGTATAATAATCTAACCGTTCGGCATGATAATATTCAGTGCTACTACCATGTGTCTTGGAACACATAGCAAGGTGTGCCAAGACAGTTTAAAATGAACATGTTATGTTTACACATGTTCATTTATAAAGTAACATTTTCATTTTAAAAAAGCCTTGGCACACCTTGCTAGGTGTGCCTTACGTGATAATATTAGTCTTATTAATAATGTAAATATTGCTAGTGCAACGAACCTTATAAAAAAAATAAGAAATAAAATAAAATAAAATTAAAAAACAAGTTAATGCAACTGCGGATTAATGCTTCACAATTAGTTCATGTCATGAGAACCAAAATCTATCCATTACTATTTAAAATTATACCTTAACACTTTTTTTTTGGGCTCACTGACTGAAAACAATAAATTTAGTGCATTGGGATTTCTTAATACTTTTTTAATATTTCAAAAATCCTAGTGTATTATCTATCGTTTTGAAAAATAAAAAATAATAAATTCTAGTGTATTTAATTTACACTTTTTAACTCGATGTATTTACTATTACCTTGTTGGGTCCATCATTACCCTTTTGGGGTCTTGTAGTCTGTAATTTTTGCTCTTTTGTGCTTTTAATAGAACTTCTATCGTTTCGAAAAAAAAAAAAAAACTCGATGTATTCATTTTGAGATTTTAAAAAGTCTTATAATCCTAAGATATTTAACTTATTTGAGACTAGGAGTCTAGAATTAGCTAAGACTTTAAAAATTTATTGGGATTTCAAAAGAAAAAATCATATATGAAATCACACTCCAAATCCCGCCTTCACACTTAAGATTTCACATGATTCATCGTAAATTTAAAAATCTTAAAAAAGTATCAAATCACAAAAATCTCAAAATGACACTTGAAATACGAAACGAATACACCCCCCTTCGACTATATCAATGATAATCAACAACATAAATAAACATTTATAATTAGGAATAATGGAAATGGATAATTATACTTCATTGATATTGTCAAGGCAGATGAACAACTTATTGCATCTTTTTTCTTTTCAATCAATAATCTCTTATAAGCTCATCTCTAGCATTTTGAATACAATTAATACTATGGAAATAAAGAATATGACCTGTTTTTGCTTGCCATTGCTCTATACAACCTGTTTTTCCTTTGGTTATTGTAAATTTTCCGCCATGTCGGATTTAAACCTTCTCCCATTTTCCGACATTCGCCATTGATAAGATTGCTATACACAAGTAAACAACCCAATGCTAAAAACAGGGACAACAAATTCATCACGAACAACAAAACACGTGAAAAACGCAAAATTTCTATGGAGCCATCGGATGGTTTTCTTATGAAGTCATCCACCACTTAATGTATTGACACATGTCCAAAGTGTATTTATTGTAGGACACATGTCACATTATTAATGAATAAGTGTGGATGGCTCCATAAGTCGAGCCATTCGATAGCTCCATAGCAAAAACAAAAACAAAAACACACTTCTTAGGTTTCACACAAAGACATAAACACATAAATAAAACAAACACAAAGCTGCATGAAATCCTCACAAGAAGTTGGGTTTTGAGAAATTTAACCATAAAGAAGATTAAGTACCTAAACGAAAATAGCAAGCTCAGGAAAGCACATAACCGATAACTGAAAAAAAAAAATAAAAAATAAAAAATCTTAGGCAACTGAGCAATACCTGATGATTAGTGCATACAGTTCTTCACATTTCATTTTCCTTTTGATTTTACCTTCTCATCGATTCATTTCACCTTTCTTTTCCTTTCTTGCATAAACAGTATACTCAAAGAACTGAACCTTGTGAGTCCTATTGGTTGAGACTGAGACAATATATTTGAACAAACTGATAGATATGAACTCATTACAACTGCAAATAAATTTCCAAGAACTTCGGTACAAATACATACCCACACGAAGTAAAATGCCATAAAATTCAAAAATGGCAAACCATCAGTTCAACACACACCCACATGGATGTGCGTCCAACGGGTTCTAAATGAGACTGCAACGAATTTGCCACATTTTCTTTCTCCTTTCTTGCCTAATACATTATACCCAAAATAATCGAACTTGCGAGCCCTATTTGCTATCACAGCTTATTTGAACAAAAATTGATAGATAAGAACTCATCACAACTGCAAATAATTTCCCAACAAAATTCGGCAGCAGGTTCAAAAAAATATTAAAATTCCATCAAATTCAATAAAATGGCAATAAAGCAAGCCACCCAAAAATTCAGAAACATTGCATTTAACATCATGTAAGAACACTATAACACTTGAACAAAATCGCAACAACAATCACCTCATCGAGACAGACCAGAAATTAAACAAGCCCTTTATCATTATTCCAAATAAAAATGGAGTCTTTGACATTAAAAACAAAAAAAACAAACACTCGTCAAAGAGATTAACTGTGTTCATTCAGCAGCCTTATGTACCACCACCGTCGATTCTCCATTGAGCTATTCAAGAAAATGGCAATAAAGCAAGCCACCCAAAAATTCAAAAACATTGCATTTAACATCATGTAAGAACACTATAACACTTGAACAAAATCGCAACAACAATCACCTCATCGAGACAGACCAGAAGTTAAACAAGCCCTTTATCATTATTCCAAATAAAAATGGAGTCTTTGACATTAAAAACCAAAACAAGCAAACACTCGTCAAAGAGATTAACTGTGTTCATTCAACAGCCTTATGTACCACCACCGTCGATTCTCCATTGAGCTGCTGCTCCTTCACAATCGTCGATCTTCTCTCAAATTCCTTCCATTTGTTGATTCCCACAGTGCACAAAACTTGCACCCGACAAAAACAAAGAAAAAAAGGGGGGAAAATAGCGCAATGTTAGGTGGGGTTTAAAAGCAAAATTGGGACCGAGAGCTTACAAAGAGGGTAGTGCCGCTTTAGGTACCTCCGGCGCCGACGAAGTATAGAAGTCGAGCGAGTTTGGGGCCCACCTCCTCGCCGGCGGGCACTGGTATAGGTTTCATTTCTTCTGTCTTGAGGAGGATTTGATTGAACAATTGAACAGTGTAATAGCAGAATATGGGGAAAATGAAATTTATTTTGGGATGTATAATAAAGTTGCAGTTCATATTTTACAATTGCACGAGTGCTTGTTAATAAATTTATATTTAAAATTATAATTAAAAAAAGTTTAAATTTTCAATTTTTGTTAAAAAAATTATATTTTATTTATATTTAAAATGACACTTGTCTTAAAATCGTATATTATAATATTTTTTCAACTTATTTGCATATGTGGCATTTGTAGTTAAATTAATTTAAATACTTTTTTACTAGAAATATTAATATATCATTTAATTTATATTATAAATATAAATATAATTATTAATTTATATTATAAATATAAATATAATTATATATTTATTTTTATGTAAAATACAGAGATGTCAAATCGAATATCATCAACACATGATTAGTTTGATATATTATGTATAAAAATTAATATAAAAAAATATTAATTTGAAATATATTTATAATTCATGTTAGTAAATTTTATATAATTATAAAAGAAAGATGAAGATAAAATAAAGATTGGAGAAAAAAAATACACCTTATAGTGTAGAATAGAAAATAATATGAAAACACAATTAATGTTCTTTAAAAACTATCATAAAATAAAATCTAATATATATATATATATATATATAAATATTCCAAGCCTAGTTACTATCGTATTGGAAATAAATTAAGTTCATTCAAGCCAAATGACAAATCATTAAAATTTGCCGCATCGAATTCAAAAGCGTACGAGCCTGCTTGTTAGGCTCAGTACATTCTGAAATTAGGCTTCGATCGAATATAATGAAAAGCT